GCCATGTTTCTGAATATTTAAAGACCTTCTGTCAGGGTTTGGTTGTGGTTTTTGAGGACCCCAAATGCAGAGGTGAGGAGGCAGAGGTGAGTTTTATAGATTTCATGAATAAACACAGGTAACAGAGGCCGGAATCCAAAAATCCAACATGAAAAATTAAAAAACAAACCAGAACCATGGAGACATCAGAGGAAAACAATCACAAGGAGCCAGGGTAACCCCGAAATCCCACATACTCCGTCTGCGCTCCGCTCCGCTCCGCCCCGCTGCGCTCCAGACCGCCTGCGCAAAGCAAAGCCTACAGCCGCCGCTGTTGCTCCGTCCCCTCCGCTCTGAGTTCCTTGGAGATCGTAGAGGGCATGCGCCAGATGAACCAGGGTTTCAGCGGATCATTAAAAATAATTACAATTCATAATTCTTTTTTTAATCAAGGCCTTAATTGGCACTAAAATTAATTAAATATGTTTATCGTTGCATTTATGATTCTTTAATAAAATGCTTCTAAAAACAATTTCGTCAGATATATTATATCGCTATTAATTTGCGTGGAACTGTTTATAAAGCCGTATGTTCGGAAAGGAAAACTCGAGGCGGAGAAAAAGCTAGAGGATATATATATACGTATATATGTGTGTGTGTGTGTTTACATACATACAGGAGTCATGGAACTCTGCTTGCAGCTCCTTCAAATAAATATTTTAATGGAGATGAGAAATCTGTTTCCTGGTTGGTGAATAACCAATAGTTTGGATCCAATCATTTAAATAAACGGTGTTAGTTGTTTTTTTTTAATATATATATATATATAAGAATTGTGCTATAATTTCTAGTCACCGATCTGTTGCTGCTCTATTTTAATTTGACGAACCCGAATTTGTCGATGTTCTTTTTCCTGTTTGGTGCGATTGCAATAGCGGATCTTGACCTGGCCGGACCGGAGCGGAGCAAAAAATAGCTCGGCTCCGTAATTTGTCGGTGACGGACGGAGAAGACGTACGTGGACGGAGACGTGCGGAGGAGTAGCGGTGGATGTGGAACAGCTCTCATTGATTTCCATGAAAGACAAGCGCTCCGCACGACGTACGTCAGCGGGGCGGAGCGGAGCGGAGCGCTGACGGAGTATGTGGAATCTGGGGGTAAGACGAGGAACCAGCACTGAGGAACTGCCCTAAGAGAGTATTTATGTTAGACTGCAAAAAGAGAGGACTAACGAGCAGATTGGGAGCAGGTGTGAAGAGAGCAAGGAAGGAGCTATTGAAAAAGGAGACCAATACAAGAGGGGAACAGAGGGAAACAAATAAAAACCTAAGAACTCAAATATATCCAGAAAATACAACAGAATAGGAATTAAACCAATAAAACTAGAAAACATGGAACAAAGTAAAACATTACAGAACCAAGACGGTGACACCTTCAAATTCTAAAACTTTTTCATGAATTCAATAAAATTTTTCACTGTAATAGGTATTGGACACGAGAATTTGTCAGGTGTAAGTGGAGGTTTTTAAAGACCCAAATGCAGAGGTGAGAAAGCAGAGGTGAGTTTTGTAGATTGGGTAAAAACACAACTAAATTAGATTGGTTTATTTAACCAAAAGATTGGTTAAACACATAACTTCCAACCCGATTAAAACCCAAAAACTTTGGAAAAACTGTTGTTTGAATAACATGACCAACACCTTTCATATTACTCATCATCGCCCAATTTGCACAAACACGTTCACTGTCTACTTGAGCTTATTTCAGTAAAATGGCAGAACAAGATTGTACCTTAAATTATTTTTCTCCAAGACATTCGACACAAAAAAACTTACAAAAGATTTTATTATCATTAACAATTTTAAAGAAACTCAAATGGGGAAAAAAACGAAAAAAACAATTGCAAAAAATGAAAGACCAAAACAAATTTTATAATGATATTTCAGTAACATTACCCTTCTTTATTCAGATCAAAAGCTATTTAAACTGAACTCAAACTAGATGAAATATATACATGCAGTTATATATTTTGCAATTAAATATAATATGATAAACACAACGTTTTATATTAATATATCTGTCTATTATATAATGTTTACCAAAGTACACAATACATGGAGCTAAAAACCAGACAACTTTATTGGAAAACTCACGTGGGAAGCCAGGAAAAGATGAGGAACCAGCACTGAGGAACTGCACAGGGAGAGTATATATGGGAGACTGAACAAAGACAGGACTAATGAGCTGATTGGGAGCAGGTGTGAACAATGGATTCTAGAAAGGAGCGAGGGAAAAGGAGACCAACAGAAGAGGGGAACAGATGGCAATCAAGAAATGCCCAAGAACTCAAAAACACAAGCAGCTTGCCAGCGAGGGGTTAGACCCAGGTTTTCTTGCCAGTGGGAAGGGAACCACATGCCGACTGGTAGCGGGTCGACCCATGTTGATAAACCCGGTTCAACAAGGTATTCTCAGTAGGAAAGAGGCTTAAGAACAAGGTTTGTTTTGCCGCAAATTTTAAAGAATGTTACCAAACCATGTATACACATCCAGGCACCTATGGTATAAAGCGATACAGAACACACTACTGTATCTGTAGTCTGCATACTTAATACAAAAATCAATCTAGATTTGAGAAAGTAATTTGTATATTGTCTTGACGTATTTCTTTTGTACAGGAAAACTGCCCCTAGCACACGTAGGTTACAATCACATGTGGTCTGCCTGAAACACTACAGGAAATGTAAAAAATACAAGAAAAAAATACTCCCCTTATAGACGGCGAACAAATTGTTCAAAAATATATTATTAATTAATTTGTTAACGCTTTAAAACTCATTCATAAGTGTTTAGTATGAAACGATGAAAGGCTAACCGGTTTGCTAAATAGTGAGCCTGATCTGTTCACTGTGTAGTTCATCTAGTTTTATTTATTTCCATTCAACATTTCAGAGTAAATGACCACAATGTGAGCACAATAAGCATTTGAAAACATTTTTTTAGCATTTGTTATGTGCTATCAACAATTACCTATTATAATATAACAACTATGTATATACATGTTGATTTTATGTATACACATGCATATTTTTATGCTGTACGGACAGTACTTTTATTTTATTTTGTTTACTTTTATTTGTTTTTGTTTATTTTAGTTATTTTATCTTTTTTGTGCAGCACTTTGGAAACCTTGTGTTTATTGAAATCGTGCTATATAGATAAAGTGGATTGGATTGGATTGAACTATGTAAGGGAGCATTATTGTAAACTGGCATCAATATCAGATCTACAATGAATAGAAGTCTATCAACGGCTTTATCTGATGCATCAAGATTAGGTTCTTCTATTAATTGATTACTTACAATAACACTAGATTTCCGAGGCATAGTAGAAACAAAAATAAGAGATCTTTTTGTCACAGTCTTGGTTTGTTAGTTACTGCCTTCCAGGTTTTCCATTTGTTGTCCTCTGCTGCCCTCTTGTGTCCTCTTTCCCTTGCTCTGTTTTCTGCTCTGTCCTCACCTGTTTCCATTCCCCTCGTTAGCCCTCTCTTTGTCTCTGTCCCCTTTAAAAGCCCTCCCTCTTCAGTTCCTGTTTGCTGGATCCTCGTCTAACGTCTGTCTGCTTACCTCGTCTCTCCCTGGTTCCTAGAGTTTGGTTTTCCCCTGATGTCTCCCTGGTTCTGGTTCGTTTGTTATTTCTGTTGGATTTTTGATTCCTGCCTCAGTTCCTGTCAACCTCATTAAACCCACCTAAATTCACCTCTGCCTTTGGGTCCTCAATCCAACACCAAATCCTGACACTTTTGAAGTTTTCCTTATCATACAGAAATAAAAGTGTTATTGGTGGCAAAAGGTTAGATCTCTCTGTCGGCAAACACTAAACAGTAAAATAAAAAGTTGTTTTCTGTGTTTCCTGACATGAAGGAAACGTCTTACAGACAGAAAGAGTTTTTGAACAGGACAGATCAATGTTTTTTTTTAACTTGTGAGTAGATGGGCTCTGGGCAGTCAGCAGTCTGTCTCTTTTTCTTGGAGATTTTGACCTCTGTGTAAAGCGTCTCCTGCTGCTGCTGCATGCTGCTATCCATGGAGGAAGCCTTGGGTCCGATCACTAACACGTTAGGATCCTCATAGTGGACTTCTTTCTCCGTTTCACTTGCCACCATCTCATAAATTTGTTCCTCAGGAGGGTTCTGTCGCAGGTAAGAAGGAGCGGATAATGATAAATCTTTTAATTGTGAAGATGCTTCATGTATGGTAACAGCAGTGTGGTAATAAACCTACCGCAGACTTTTGTGCAGGTCGATGTTTTCTCCTTAAAAACCTGTAAAAAATGAAGTAGTCAGACTGATAGAACATGGATGAAGTGTCTCTGTATGCTGCAGACTTTAACCTCAAAAACGTACAAACTCACCAAAAACCTACGAGCAGGAAGATCAGCACGACACCCAACGCTGAAAAAAGTGATGTTAGAAATGGAGCGTTGTCAGTTCCTGCTGATAAAACAGAGATAGATGAGACATCTTTAGAGCTCAGCTATTTTAGCTACAGTATTTTCACAACCCTTTACGCAGCATTTAGAACCGCAAACTTCCTTTGAAGGAAGGAAGTGTGGTTAGCATTCATCTGACCCCAATTTTAACTTTAACTCTGATGCTAAATCCTTCTTGGAATAACATAAAAAGCAGTATGGTCCATTAAACTAAACGAATATTAAAAAGTAATATAAAAATAAGTTATTTATTTAAAATTCTTTATTTAAAATTTTTTTTTCTTATGTTTTTTTCTTTTTTTTTTGACAGTATAGCTCTGAAAATAGATATTCCAGATCTACATAGCTTTGTTTTGAAAAGCAGACCATTATGACTGTTACCATTTAACATCTGTAAACTTTAAAATAAATATTTTACAGTACTATTTTAAATAACACTATTTCAATAATTTCTAAGAGACATAACAGAAGATTGAGTCAGATAGGAAAAAGACGCTTTAAGATTGATTTGAGCCACATTTCTAAAATCACAAAAAGAAGAAATCAGAGAGCGGAGTACTTTTTCCTCCAACAGTTGGATCAATCTCTGGAAGGACAAAAAAAGGCTGAATAAAACAGATTCTGCTTAGATCTGCGTTAAAATGAAACATTCAAATAACCTCTTGGTAACTCAGCTGTTGGGATCTGGAGGTCTGTCCACCTTTCTCCAGCAGAGGGCGTTCTAGGTCTCCTAGAGCTGAAGCTGACCACCACACCTGCGGCTCATGAGCTCATCAGGAGACCGGCATTTAAGGAGGGGCAGAGCTACAATCCGACGCCAGAGTGTTTGCCAGTTATGGAAGAACCTGCCTGGAAATCTGAAGACCTGGAAGGGTTTCCCAAACGTGAGACCAAGCTGTCTGTTCTCAGTAGAACCCCTGGAAATCCAACTCAGTCTGAAACCTGCCTGCCCGCTCTCAGCAAGAGCTGAGAGAGAAGCTCTGAACCTGCTCAGTAAGATTATCTGCTCTGCCCTGCCTCTGCCTAGCCCTCTGCCTGCCTTCAGCCTCTGGACCCTCATGGTTCCCCCCTTCTACCGCTCTGCTCATCTCTGACCAAGTATTAACCTGCAAACACTCAACCTGCAAGTCCCCTGAAAGTCTGCTAACCAATCTGTCCCTCTCTGCCGTGAAAACCATTCGTGACCAGACCCGGGCCCAGTTTATCCCAGAACCAGTGTTCTTTATTGTAAAATATTCCTTAATAAACTTGTGAACTTTTTCCCAGTCTCTGAGTGTTCTGAATGTGGGTTAGATCCCTGAAAGCCAATATGACAGAAGCAACAGTAACAAACTACCATAATTGTTTTTACCTTTTTCTGGAACATTAAGATCAACTTCAGCTGATGTCTGATTACCAAGATCATTCATGGCCACACAGTAATAAACTCCCCCCTCAGTGACATTGATCCTATAAACGTCTCCTTCAGCTACTTTCATGGCTCCATGTTTGCTCTTCTTGAACCAGGTGAAGCAGCTGATGGGAGGCTTGGCTCTGCTGGAGCAGTTCAGGTACACCCAGCTATCTGCTGATGGACTGATGGATACTGAGGTGTTTTTGGGAGCATCTGAGGAAAATGTGACACACCTTCAGTTTATTGATGAGAAGCAGCTGAACCATGATGTTCTGACAGGATGACTTACAGGAAACACTGAGAGTCACTTCTGTCTTTGCTGTCTTGCTGTGTTTTCCTCCATCCACAGGATATCTGACAGAACAGATGATGTTGTATCCATCATGTGTGTCTGACAGAGTGATGATCTGCTGGATTTTAGTTCTAAACGTTCCATCTGTGATCTGCTCCATCTGTCTGGGAGAGTCTGGTTGGAGATTCCAGGTGAGTTCAGGAGGTGATTGTGGACAGGGAGTGAGAGCTGAGCACGTTATGGTGACAGAGTCCTTCTCCTTCACATCACCTGAGATTTCAATCCTGGGGCTCCAAGCTGAATCTGTGCTTTCACATCATACACACATTTTACACAGTGAGATCCAGAAAATCTCTACTTTAAACACATTTGGAGCAGAAATGCATCTGAATTCATTTTCTCTCGTCAACATTAACATTAGAGATAAATAAAAACAAAAGGCTCTTACCTCTAACTGTTATATTAACAGGATGACAGGAAGCTGTTGCTTTGAACGGCCTGTTCTCAACCCTGAAGAAGTAGTTCTCTGTTTGACTTGCGTTTACATTAAAAAATACAGTGGTGCAGTTTCTCTCTCTGAGGTTTCCAGTAATGTTCATGTTATAGCTGTTCCTTGGCTTACTGCTGTTGTAGATCACGTTAAATTTATTAACTTTAAACACAGGATTACTTTTTATCCAAACTCCAAATGTTTTCTTCTTGACATCAATGGTTTCTCCTGGTTTCTCTCTAAAGCTACATGGGATTAGCAAACAGGATCCACTCAGAGCTTCCATCTCCTCTGGTGCAGTAATGCTGAGGGCTGGTTTACAAGTCTGAACTCCTATAAACACAGAATAGAGATGAACACAATGGGCCGGATCTATCAAAGGTTTGCGTGTATTAAAACGTGAGCTATTTCACTGCGCACGCTAAAAAATGTACAAACTGATCTATCAACAGCGTGCTAAAAGGATTTGGTCTTTAAAACGTGCTAAATAGCGCCTCTTATCCATTTAGTACTTTTTCTGCAATGAATATGCAATATGGGGCGTTTACACGCAAAAGTGCGTCTTGTGGGAGGAGAACATGTAAATATATTAATTTAGCACTCGCAAAGTGATTTATCAAACCTGAAAGCAATTTTGCTAACGGTATCTGACTCTATATTTAACACGTTTCAAAAGAAGGTGCAAATGGTCTGTATGCGTAATTGCGCACACATGGCAGCGGTTATTGCCGCAAGAAGGAGACATTGAAATGAAGCAAGGAGACGCAGAGAACGCATTTTTTCACTCCGTGTGAATATTTTTGGAATGAACGAGGAAAGGATCATCAAAACATATCGTTTATCCAGCATTGCCATTTTGGAGCTGCAATTCCAGTGATTTGCTCCTCACAGAGCGTCAGCTGTACTTGTTCCTCAATGCTGGTCAGAGGCATCTCATCTACTGTGCCCCCTCCTGCTTTGTTCGCAGATGTTTTGTTATATGCCAGTTTTTCTTTGGTTCGCCTTCTAATATCCTGGTATCTTCTTTTTACTTCATCCACTGTTCGCAAGGTTTCACCAACAGCGTTTAGGCTACTTTATTACAGATTTGTTCACATATAGCGTTCCTCTGTGTGACAGGCACACTTCTTTGCTGTAGCTCACTTAAATGTTTGTTGGCTTCATCCACCAATACCTCCATTTCCATGGGGTCGAATTTCCTTTTGCGCTTTCTGCTGTCCAAACTCGCCATGCCGCAAACCACCAAATGCGCAAAACCATCATTTAAATAGGGCGTCTCCAACAGTTTTGCACCTGCCACCAGTTACGCAATCGCTCTTCTTAAATCACCCGCAAACCATGGTTCAGCCCCTCGCGCAAAATTCCAGTTTGCGAGCGCAAATTACTGCACGCAAAATTGGATCTTGATAAATCCGGCCCAATGTGGATCAAAATGGTCGTAAAGATAAACTTCCTGATCAATAAACTCCAACTGAGCTGCAGCTTGTTACATGATGAGCCTTTAAACAAGATCAGGATCCAATATTTCTGACTAGAAATGGTTCCAGTAATGTCTACAAATGAAAATGAAAAATCAAACCGCTCACCTGAGAAGAAGAAGACATTCAGTAACATGCTGACGGTCAACATGTTCTCAGACAGGGCTGCCATCACACTCAGAGACAGACCAAACCCTGAACTACCAGTTAACTTTCACAAGAATCAACCACCAGTTCAGAGCAGAAGACAGCTCCACCCTTCATGTTTAGTTTCTTTAAAAGAGGAAGTCGCTGTCATGATCATCAGATGTTAGATTTTTAGTTTTTTAAGTGTTTATGTTTTAATTCTTTTTGTCTTTATGTTCTAAAATGTTGCGTTTTTTTCCCTTATTTTTGGTTTATTTCCTTTTCTAATCTTGGTTTTTAACTGAGATTTAGTTTAAAAAAGACAAGCATCAAAAGCATTTTTCCATGTAAGAAAAATGTGTAGTCCTGTTTCTCTGACTTCAGCTTCAGCTCTGTCTACATGAGAGGTTGAATCTAATCTTGACATATTTTCTTCCACATTAGTATGTGCATTAATAGAAAAACACATGTAGCTGGTCTCAGGCTCAGTGGATGAATGCTCAGTATTTTGACCTTCAAACTCTCAAGTCATTCTGTGCCAAACTGTCTGACCTCTTGACCTTGACTCTGTAGCTCTGCCTGCATGTGAAAACCAGTCTCATTTACACAAAAATGTAGAAATTTGCAGTTTATTTTAATGGATGAGAAAAACACAGCGATGCATGTCAGCATCACGACTGAAAAATGCAGAGTTGTTCTGATAAACATCTAAGAATAGCAGAATCAAACAGAAAGTTTCCACCAAACTGCAGGTTAAAAATTGAATTGCACCAAATTTCCCATCCCCCAATAAGCACAAGATCTTGAAGAAAATGACTTGCTTTTTTTTTTCTTTTAAACAATCTAAATATATAAGGTGAAGTTGTCTTAGAAAACACATTTTATTAAATTCTGTTTAGGTTAATTTTAACCAGAACAGATGAGGGTTTAATTTTGCTGATGATCAGATGAGGTTTGGGGCCTAACGAACGTTTTCTTGAACAGTAAGATTAAATACATTTAATGCAAGGATCTTTTGGGGGTTTTGTTTGTATTACTTTTTATCCCATTCTAGTTGGAAGATTTCATATTTGATTTTGTGGTGTCCTTATGTAAAATTTTAATCCATGAAAATGGAAGTTTATCCTCCATATTGTCTCTGTGATCTGATTGCGGGATGCCAGAGTCACAAAGCAGGTTTAACAAACTCAGACTAAAATCCTAAACCCTTGATGTAGCCTAAAGTTGGAAACCTCTGTGTTTTAGGTTTCACAACAGCCACTGTGTGCTAGTTTAAATAATTCCACTGTGGTGCAAGCTATATTTTTTGAAATATGCGACGCCTTCAAAACACATGCATGCGCATGCTGTCTGCAGCACATCTAGAGCAACAGGAGCAGCTGCAGGCAGGGAGACAGACGGAGCGCTGATGCAGCACTGAGCAAAACATGTTAGCTTTTATTATCCGGGTGCCTGCAGTTTGGATTATGGAAGGCAGGATGGTAATCTGGATAAACTGACTGCACAGATGAAGTTTTCAGGTGAATTTTCTCACTTCAAAATAGATTCAAACTTAGGGTGGCAATTTCTATAGCACCAAAAAGGAGGACATTGTGCGGCATATCAATAAATTACTAAGGTGTACATAAGAATCAGGTAAAGTCACATTCATAGTACGATTCTTAGTAGTTTAAAGAGGATGCTTGTGTAGCTAAATAGAACAAAATATCAAAGAAATGTAAAAAAGAATACATATATTTAATACATTGTGGTGTTTAAAAAGTGACCACCGAGATGAATCTTTAAAGTGCAGAATACCACAAAGCATAAGATATGTGGACTTAAACGTTAAAAAAATCTTTTTAACAAGAAACATTCATAATAAAATAGGCTAATATTTTTTAAACAACAAAAGAGATTGTAGAAAACACATTTAACTGCTCTAAAAGTATAGCTTTATTTTTAAGAGCCTCAGTCTTTTGGGAACTTATCTTAACCCTGAAATCCCACATACTCCGTCAGCGCTCCGCTCCGCCCCGCTGCGCTCCAGACCGCCTGCACAAAGCAAAGCCTACAGCCGCCGCTGTGGCTCCGTCCCCTCCGCTCTGAGTTTCTTGGAGATCGTAGAGGGCATGCGCCAGATGAACCAGGGTTTCCGCGGATCATTAAAAAGAATTACAATTCATAATTCTTTTTTTAAATCAAGGCCTTAATTGGCACTAAAATTAATAAAATATGTTTATCGTGGCATTTATGATTCTTTAATAAAAATGTTTATAAAAACAATTACGTCAGATATATTATATCGCTATATGCGTGGAACTGATCATAAAGCCGTATGTTCGGAAAGGAAGCTCCAGGCGGAGAAAAAGCTAGAGAATATATATATACGTATATATGTGTGTGTGTGTGTGTGTGTGTTTACATACATACAGGAGTCATGGAACTCTGCTTGCAGCTCCTTCATATTTCATGTACACTAATAACTTGTGTACATGGTTCTTGTTGATGGCATTAAAATCATTTCTAATAGCATTAAAATAGCATTAAATTAGAGTCACTCATTCCTGTATGAACCCTGTGAGCGCTTAATTTAATATGACATATTAAAAAAATCCCACCATCATCCAGCATATGTTCAGTTTCTGCCCAAATATATATATATATTTTTGTAGATTTTTGTAATGGGGATAAGGATAATTCAAAACTTCTTTTTTTTTTTTTTTTTTTATGAACTTGTTCTCTACTCCCAAACTCAGCATCTCTTTTCATTCCTGTAATAAGAAGTTTCTTTTGAATGGATTTGATTAAAGTTTAAGTCCCTCGGTATAAAATAAATATTTTAATGGAGATGAGAAATCTGCTTCCTGGTTGGTGAATAACCAATAGTTTGGATCCAATCATTTAAATAAACGGTGTTAGTTTTTTTTAAATATTTTTATATATATATATATATATATATATATATATATATATATATATATATATATATATATATATATATATATATATATATAAGAATTGTGCTATAATTTCTAGTCACCGATCTGTTGCTGCTATATTTTATTTTGACGAACCGGAATTTGTCGATGTTCTTTTTTCTGTTTGGTGCGATTGCAATTGCGGATCTTGACCTGGCCGGACCGGAGCGGAGCAAAAAATAGCTCGGCTCCGTAATTTGTCGGTGACGGATGGAGAAGACGTACGTGGACGTGCGGAGGAGTAGCGGTGGATGTGGAACAGTTCTCATTGATTTCCATGAAAAACAAGCGCTCCGCACGACGTACGTCAGCGGGGCGGAGCGGAGCGGAGCGCTGACGGAGTATGTGGAATCTGGGGTTAAGTGTCTGTGTGCAGCAGACCTGTCTTTATGGTCCCTTCAGCTATGGGCCAATCACTGAAATCCACTTTCACGTCACAGTCTACACTTCCATAGGACTAGTGATGTTTTATAGTATAGTCCACCTTGCAGCTCTGCACAAGTTATTTTAGCATCCAGGGGCGACAAAACTTAATGTAAAATGCTCTTTTGTCCATTCTGGGTTAAACAACGTCCTGGTTTTGACAAGACGCTAACTTTAATACTAAGCGTCAATAATTCTGATCCTTGTTTACTTTTGTGACCAGATAGTGATGCATTTTTGATGATTGGATATTGTACTGCAGCCCAGCAAAAAAAATAAAAATCTGCTTTACAAGCCTAGTCCCTCGTAAAGGAGGACAAAAACATGTCCGGCTGGATGGATGGTGAGAGGAAGGTGAGAGGAAGCCTCATGAGGCATTTGAACCATATGGCCAAACCGCTTCAAAGATCCCCACAGTTCATAAAGCCTCATGTGAACATGTCACCACCTACTGGTGGGGTGCAGAACTACAGTGGGCAATATAATCTGGGATTTTTTGCAATATTGTTTTTCTTTTTTTCCCCCATATAAATTCATTTGATATTGTTAAGTTTGGTCTGTAAAATAAAATCTTTAGTACGTGTTTTTGTGTGTAAAATGTCTTAGAGAAAAATCATTTAAGGTGTTAGGTTTATTCAATGATGATTATAAAATTAATGTGTGCTTATAAAACATTTGTGCGAGGGGATGCTCCACTCCTGTGTCATGATCCAGTCAGGAGACCATCCTGCCTTGTCATTCTGATGGAGCATTCTGTCTTCATGAACTGATCAATTGTTCTGTCAGAACAATACTCTTTTTGTAACCATGTGTCATGTTCTGTTAATAAAACTACTCTGCGGAGGAGGTCCAGTGGGAGACAGTGTGTTTGAGTCTGGGGTTCAACTGTCTCTCCTTTCTGCAGAAATTGTATCCATAATTGTGTATTTCAGTTCTTCTTTTGCAAAAACCTACATTTTATAAACCCGACATAAGGTGCACTGTTTTTTTTGTCATTTTAGTAAAATAAGGTCAAGTAGACAGTGACAGACTTTGTGCAAATTGGTCAATGATGAGAAAATTTAAGGTGTTAGTCATTTATATTAAAACATAATAGTTTTTCCTCAGTTTTTGGTTTTAATCAAGTTGTAAGTTACGTATTCAACCAATCATTTGATTAAACCCATCAATCAAATTTTTTGTGTTTCTGCCAATCTATATTTATACAAGGGAAACAAATACAAAATAGTCACATTAGCCAAAATACTTGTTGTGTTTTATCGCAACTTTTAAAAATCAGAGGTGGATCTTGGACCAACAAGCCATGGAATGGAACTCCATCTCTTACAGCTGACACCACTAAATAGATTACATATTCATATAGAAAGCACTACTATTTAAAATCCATTACATCTGTGATTAGTGGCTTGCTCAGATTTTGATCATTACATTGTTTAATCTAACCAAACTACTTTTAACCAACTAGATGGGTTGGAAAAAAGAACACCAATATATTCTTAGAACTTATCCAGACTCTATCCAACTCTCCTAAAAACTCCCACATCTTGACTGAACATAGAGGCTGTTAAATGCCTGCTGAAGTTCCGGGCAACTGAACCACTTCCTGAAGCGGTCACGTGGTATGACGGGTAGCGAGGCTTCGGACGTCATCTATTTTGGCTCCTCCCCCGGATGAAGCAAGCCTCGATACGCGCCTCACAGAAACGCCCCTTCCAGTACTCGATATACGCCTCGAAGCCTCGGCTCACCTCATAACATCACTACCACTTACCCACTGATCATGGCAAATATAGCTGCCATGAGACCCCGGATACAAGCGGCTGAAATTAGTTTTCTCCGTAGTGTGTCTGGGCTCTCCCTTAGAGATAGGGCTAGGAGCCGCTGCTCCTCCACATCGAGAGGAGCCAGCTGAGGTGGCTCAGGCATCTGATTAGGATGCCTCCTGAACGTCTCCCTGGTGAGGTGTTCTAGGCACGTCCCGCCGGGAGGAGGCCCAGGGGGAGACCCAGGACATGCTGGAGAGACTATGTTTCTCGGCTGGCCTGGGAGCACCTTGGGATTCCCCGGAGGAGCTGGTCAAAGTGGCCTGGGAGAGGGACGTCTGGGCCTCCCTACTGAAGCTGCTACCCCCGCGACCCGACCCCAGATAAGCGGAAAAAGATGGATGGATGGTGTTCCAGGCAAAGAAAGGTCAAGATAGGTCAGCTCCGCCCAACCAGCTAGAGCAAGAAAGATGCTTCAGCTGTGCGTCAAAACTAAACTTGTACAAACATCAAAAATGAAGTAGCACTGGCGCGTTTTTGCTGTTCTAGGTGTAAATAGGGTAACCAGACGTCCCACTTTTTATACCTGCCTGGACAGCGGCAGCCCTATACTCCCCCCACCTGCCGGGGCATGGGGCCGCCGGTATCCAGGCTACCGTCACCGGGTTGGGTTTGTTAGCTCGGTCCCAAGCCCAGGAGCTCACGGCTCGGTTCTGCTGCACTGTAGTCGACCAAAATCCCAGTCCAGTGCAGTCACCATAGGTGTGAACGTAGCATAACAGTGGCTAGCTACCAACCATGGCGTCCTGCACGAGCATCAATGCCATCTCAGATATTAAAGCTCTCTTATGTCTGTCCCTACCTGCATTAAAGTTTAGAGATCCCATTTTCAGGCTTTGCATATATATATTAAAAAAGAGGAAAGAGAAAGAAATAGGCTGAAAGCAGCAGACAGCAGTGAAAATAAAAGGCCAACGTTTGATGATCCATGTTTGTTCTATTTCCTGGCTTTTATAAAAGTTGGAGAAGCAATAGAAAACCTAAAAGAACAAGGAAAAAAAACACCAGTTCAAAACTGGATGCATCGATTGATAGATAGATTCATATGCATACATTTTTTTAAGGGCTTACACTTGTAGGAATGAATAATCAGAAGACTTTTGAATAATCTGTAGTTGGGCTAAATTTATTAGAATTCAAGAAAATACATGTACCTTATATTTAGAAATGTATTTTCAAAAAAGATAAGAAATAACTTTTGTATTTTCAACAAGCTATTAAATATGACAAATATAATAATATTTATATTATATCTCAAATAATATAATAAAAAAATAAGAATCTAAAGATTAATGGTTGTTCAAGAAACAGAAGTAAAACAAGTTTTTACATATACTCAAACAATATAGCTTTAATTTACAACACAATTGTGAGGAAAATAATCGCTTACAAGGTGATAGAGAGGGACAAAAAAAAATCCTTAGGTGGAAGCCTAATAAACCTTCTGCAGTTGAAAGACTGTTTTTAAACAACATAAAATAAGCTTGAAAGAAACATAGCTGTTAGTTTGACCTAATAACAAAAAAGCAAGAAGCTCAGTGGGATGAACAGCAGCATGAGGTTACCACTTATAATGCCGGCACCATTACAGTTGTCACCCTGGCAGTTAAAGGAAAACCAATTCACTGAATTCTCTGAACAGATTAGCTTGGAGGCACAGCCCTTCTCAGTTATAGTTCCTTTGTCTGTTTTAACTGAAAGAACCAAAAAACAATTTGTGAGTTACATGTATGACATTAAAATTATGTAATATTTTTCTGTCTGGTGTACAAAGGAAGAAACAGGACTCCCACCTTTTGATATGTAGCAATAGTCTTCATTTCCCTCACAGTTTACACTTCCAGTGCAGTCTGATCCGACACATTTAAAACACTTTTTGCCATTTGAGGAGAATTCAGGAGGTTCTGAAAAAAACAACAGTTATTGTTCATAAAGAGAAATATGGAGTATAAATTTCAGCATTTGCTAATATATCACTATTGTTGCAGACTAATGACAGTTTTAGTGGCTATATAAACCAACATAATAATTCTTACCTGGAGATTTAATTTTATAATGTAAATGTATGATCTGTCCAAGTGCAATAGAAAAAAACAACAAACTTTTTTTTTGTGTCAATATTCAATAAGTTTAGTATGGGTATATAATGCATAGAAAGCTGACTCCCTGTTTAAATGCAGAGTTGCCCACTCTGTAGCAAAATGCTAGGAAACTGGAGAGAAAATATCGCTCCACAGGCCTACAGGATTCCTACTTAGTTTGGAAAAATAGTTTACTGCTGTATCAGAGGACCCTTTGTAAAGCAAGAGCAGCATACTTCTCCTCATTAATAGAGGAGAATAAGAATAATCCTAGATATCTTTTTAATGGAGTTGCCAAACTCACCCAGAGCCATAGCTCTGTTGAACCGTCCATCCCACCTGCTCTTAGCAATAATGATTTCATGTGATTCTTTAAAAATAAAATTGGACGTATGAAAAAAAACGATCATTAGCACTCCAATAACTACGATTGGTTTATCTCTGGAAGTTGGTTTATCTCAGAGTTAGCAAAACTATTGTCTTCATCTAAGCCTTCAACAGACAGTGGCAGCAGGGAATCAGTGCGAGATCAGTGGAAGAGAAAGCACCAAAACGGTTCGGTTTTGCAAATTGCTTTTACACAACCAAGTATGTGCATGAGTCCCTTTCTGATGTCTTGTTTGTTTCTTAAATGAGAGTTTTATGTCAGTCGAAATCAGACGACTCAACAAGTATATTGGAACAGGTCTAAAAGTACAAAAAAAACCCTCCACATACTGTACATTGTTTGTTTAAAACTGACATAACCCTCTTGAACTCATAAAGCATGGGGTAACATGACAAAGCACTGATGATGTTTTAGAAATTGTGTCAGTTTAAACAACATGATTTAGCTATTTAAGTATACTTGAAGAAGAAATTTCATGTGGCAGTTATCTGCTATATCACTGCTTATCTTTTAAAAACTAATATCAACTGGTTGTATTTACCAGGAAAATCTTGACTGTTGCAGAGGTTTGATTTGCAGCACACTGAGGTAACCACAAGTTTAGAGCTTCCAGTGTTTATTGATCCGTTGAGACATTGATGAGGCAGTACACAGCCTCGAGCCTTGTTCTCTGAGTGTTTGGAACCCCCTGCAAACAAAAAGAGGCAATTTGAAAGTCGATACAAAGCAGGCAACCAAAAACTGAGACAAAGTACAATTAAACATAGTACCTTCAAACCGCACCATGCTTCCTGTACCACATAGATAATCCTCTGTGGCACATTTCCTTTTTGTCGTGCAGTCTACTTGAGAGAGTTCCCTTGGACAGTTATAACATTCAATGGAATCAACTGAAAGAATTCCATTAAAAGAATGTTAGTTTTCATTGAGCATAAAAAAGCATTGGCACACAGCATCTAATTAAAAATGTCTTTAGATGCCAGGAGTTGATCCCTGGCAATAAGAATCTTAACAGGTTTAATCATCTAAAAGCAAAAATGTACACAAATGTTTTGTTTATTAGTTCTGTATTTGAAAAAAAAACAAAAATAAAAAACAAATAATGTAAACATGAAGAAAGACTTGCCTGTCGGGAGAAGCCAGATGCCAAGAAACAGAGACAGGAGAAACATTTTGTTAATAAGGTGCCAGGATACTGTACGTCACTCTGTCAAGATAGGATAGATGCAGTCCAGACTAGAACTGCAAGTCGTTTTTAACAGGTCCAAAGCCCAACCCAGCAAGTCTGCCCCTGGCCTCGCCCCTCCCATCATGCCTGGTCACATGTCCCACATACACAGAACACATCTAAAATTTAATATAAATGCAAATTTCACAGATTAAGATTAGAGGATTTCTTTACAGTTTTAATTGCGTCCCAAAAGATTTGTCCCTTACAATGCCTTCTGGCTGTTTGAGTACACCTTTTTGCTAATGGTTCATAAATAATTAATTATTTTAATCTTTTTTGGCCTAACATAACAGAAGACATCGGTAAGAAGTAAGAAGGCGGCATGGCTGTTATTGTCAATGTGAAGTGATACAATGCTAGGACACTTGACAGTTAGAGTGCAATTGAGCAGCCTCAACAACAGGCCCATAACTATCTCCCATAGCAGCTGTAGACCCATCCCTCTGCTAGTGTCGAAGTAGTGTCCGAGACTCTACTCATGCTGGCCTGCAGTTTTTGTGCTACTATAGGTTAAATATATTATAGATATATTTAGCACGTAATCAACTTAAAGGACCCCAAAGCACAGCAGGGGCTTGAACCATTAATTCCCCGATAAGGGCATTAACGATATTTCCAAGTTGACAGCAAATGTCTAAGTCAAGTCGATGCTTCTTTGATATATTAGTGGTGGGTATAGATTTTTTTTTTTTTTTTTTAAATCTAGATCAGTCTCACTAATCTTGAAATTAATCTAGATTAATCTAGATTAAAATTGCTCATTTAAATTCTACCAAAGACATTCACGATATGTGTGTGCGACCTCTGGAATTTAAAAGAAAGGTTTGCTTTTTTTTATGTTTGCAAAATCACATGTAATTTTGAAAAAGTTATACATACTTTCTTCTGCTCATTTGTTACTGTGTTACTGTAGCTGCAAAGAAAAGCGTCCCAATTTTCTTTGAGATGTCTCTAAAATTGTATCTGTTATTGTTAATGCAGCTGAAACTGCAATTTCTAAAATAGGGGGGAGAGGAAATAAAAGTCTATTCCATGGGGGAATGAAGAATGTAATGCTGCTATTAGGGGAAGAAATAAAGCTTTTAAATTGGTAAGGAGATGCCATACCTTTGAGGCATTAATTCAACATAACAAAGCACAAGCTATACAGTCTCATTGGCATCTGCCTTTTTTTTTACACCAAATTTTAAACACTGAATTTTTTTAACAACGAATTTTAAATACTGAATTTTTGCGGCTGAATTTTTGCAGCTGAATTTCATGTAGCTTAATTTTTACAGCTGAATTTTTGCAGCTGAATTTTTTTGCAGCTGAATTTTTTTCTGGTGAATTTTTACTAGATAAAAATTGAGTTTAAGGAATTCAATGTCTAAAAAAATTCAGTGTTTAAAATTCGGTGTTAAAAAAATTCAGTGTTTAAAATTAGTTTCTTTTTTTTTTTTATTCAGTGTTCAAAGTTCGGTGTTAAAAAAAAAGGCAGATTCCAATGAGACTGTTTTTTTTCCATAGGAAAACCATTAGAGCAGCTAAGAAGGTATGTTGGAGGCAGTATTGTAACTCTATTGGAAGAGGGTTATCTGAGGTATGGAGCGTTATTAAGAAAATTAATGGTGTTTAAAAAAAAAAAGGCGAGCTCCTGGTGGCCAGGTGGCCAGGCTTTTACCCATGGGGCCCGGCCGGGCTCAGCCCGAAGAGGAAACATGGGTCCCCCCTCACATGGGCCCACCACCCGTGAGAGGGGCCGTAGGGGTCGGGTGCAATATGTGTTGGGTGGTGGCCGAGGGAGGGGACCCTGGCGGTCCGATCCTTGGCTGCAGAAGCTGGCTCTAGGGATGTGGAATGTCACCTCGCTGGTGGGGAAGGAACCTGAGGTAGTGTGTGAGGCTGAGAGGTTCCGGCTAGAATTAATCAGTCTCACCTCGACACGTGGTTCTGGTTCTGTAACCAGTCTCCTTGAGAGGTGTTGGACATACTTCCACTCTGGAGTTGCCCACGGTGAGAGGCAGGAGTGGGCATACTTGTTGCCCCCCATCTTGGGTCCTGCACGTTGGGGTTCACCCCGGTGAACGAGAGGGTAGCCTCCCTCCGCCTATGGGTGGGGGGACGGGTTCTGACTGTTGTCTGTGCTTACGGGCCGAACAACAGTTCAGATTACCCACCCTTCTTGGAGTCCTTAGAGGGGGTACTGGAGGGTGCCCCTCCTGGGGACTCCCCTGTTCTGCTGGGAGACTTCAACGCCCATGTGGGAAATGACAGTGACACCTGGAGGGGCGTGGCTGGGAGGAATGGCCGCCCCGATCTGAACTCGAGTGGTGTTCTGTTGTTGGACTTCTGTGCTCGTCATGGATTGTCAATAATGAACACCATGTTCAAACATAAGGGTGTCCATATGTGCACATGGCACCAGGACACCCTGGGCCGCAGTTCGATGATCGACTTTGTCATCGTTTCATCTGTCTTGCTGCCGTATGTCTTGGACACTCGGGTGAAGAGAGGTGCGGAGCTTTCTACTGACCATTACCTGGTGGTGGGTTGGCTCCGGTGGTGGGGGAGGATGACGGTCAGGCCTGGCAGGCCCAAACGTATTGTGAGGGTCTGCTGGCAAGGTCTGGTGGAGTGCCCTGTTAGGCGGGGCTTTAACTCCCATCTCCGGCAGAACTTCGAACACATCCAGGGGGAGGTGGGGGACATTGAGTCCGAGTGGACCATGTTCTGCTCCTCCATTGTCGAGACGGCTTATCTGAGCTGTGGCTGCAAGGTTGTCGGTGCCTGTCTTGGCTGCAACCCTCAAACCCGTCGGTGGACACCTCCTGTGAGGGATGCTGTCAGGTTGAAGAAGGAGTCCTATCCGGCCTTTTTGGCCTGTGGTACTCCGGAATCAGCTGATGGGTACTGGCGGGCGAAGCGGCATGTGGCTTGGGTGGTTGCTGAGGCAAAAACTCGGGTGTGGGAGGAGTTTGGAGAGGCCATGGAGAAAGAGTCCGTACGGCTCTGAAGCGATTCTGGTCCGCCATCCGGCATCTGAGGAGGGGGAAGCGGTGCAGCACCAACACTGTTTATATTGGGGATGGTGTGCTGCTGACCTCGACTCGGGACGTTGTGGGTCGGTGGGCGGAATACTTCGAAGACCTCCTCAATCCAACCAACATGCCTTCCATTGAGGAAGCTGGGCCTATAATTAGAATCTTGGTGCTCACTAACTTTTGGCAGCATAATAAATTTGAACAGCTTCTGCAACAACATGGTGCAATTGTAATTTTGGATTGATGATATCAGAGAAGGGAAAAAAAACTCCTTACACCGCAGCCATTTGGCCTTCTGCTTTTGTCTGAATGGTTTCATTTAAAACTGGAACATAGGCAAAAAAAAATAAAAATGTGTACATCATTTCTAGATTCCAGTGCAATCATTCCTCCTATATGAATGGCTTACTGTTTGGGTGTATGAGGAAATGCTAATGAACTGAGCAGGAAAACGTATTTAAATTGATAAAAAATTTGTTTTGATGTAAATGTTTTTGCCATTTGTTTATTCAAATGATTTTTGGAGTTTGGGGAATTCTTGGGCAAGGGAGTTTCAAGGAAGACATTTATCAGTGATCCCTGTTACAGGGACATGTACCAAAGTCTTTTAAGGTTTCTTTAATTAAACTTTTACTTGAGAAACTGTCTCTTAACCCAAAAATTGTTGAAAAAGTAGTTGCCAAACAGGTGTGAGACTGAGACCACTAACACCATAGTAAACTTTTGTTTCAGTCTGGATTTAGCGGTCATCATAGCATGGGGATGTGTGAGGTGATTTTTTTTTTTTGGTGAGATGTCAGATTTTGTGGCTTTGCCAAGCTACAGGTTTTTATGTTACAGAAAACTTTTGATGACGAATCCTGGAACACTAAAGTTCTATGAGGAGTTTATTTCTGATCTGCAGTTGGAACACTTTACATAGGCAAAAACATACACCATTAAAAACACCCCTAAAAACACTTTTTCCTGGTGCGGTTATGTTAAATTGAGAGTAAAATTTTATTAACATTAGTTTATGAAAAACAGCAAAGATGCATTGTGCATTCTTTCTGCTACATAATCTGCCCTATGGGTTTTCGTGGAAGGTCGAATGATCTGTTCCAGAGGAGCTTTCTATTGAAACTAAGAAAAAGTATTTTGATGGAACTGTTTCTGTACTTTGTTTAGTGACCTCAGGGTCACTGGGTTTGCAATCTATAACATAAGCTGTGTATAATTAGAATCTTGGTGCTCACTAACTTTTGGCAGCATAATAAATTTGAACAGCTTCTGCAACAACATGGTGCAATTGTAATTTTGGATTGATGATATCAGAGAAGGGAAAATAAGAAAAGAAATAAGCTTTTTCCATCAAACTCCTTACACCGCAGCCATTTGGCCTTCTGCTTTTGTCTGAATGGTTTCATTTAAAACTGGAACATAGGCAAAAAAAAAAAAAAAAATTTGTACATCATTTCTATATTCCAGTGCAATCATTCCTCCTATATGAATGGCTTACTGTTTGGGTGTATGAGGAAATGCTAATGAACTGAGCAGGAAAACGTATTTAAATTGAGAAAATGTAAATGTTTTGCCATTTGTTTATTCAATTGATTTTTGGAGTTTGGGGAATTCATAGGCAAGGGAGTTTCAAGGAAGACATTTATCAGTGAAGGGAAAATATGAAAATAACTTAATATATATGCACTGCTTGAAAGCACTAAATTCTTCTTCCTGTCCCTATTTAGCATTTTTGTGAAACAAAATAAAAGATATATCAAACTGCAAGGGAGAACTTGGTACTTACATCTAATTTCACTTTTACATTTTAAAACAAAGAATGACTTTTCATTCCTTTAGCTTCTAATTAAATCAAAATGTAAGGACAAAAACTGACAGCGCAGAATAAAGTCTGGGGCAGTATCTAAGGTAGCCATAGAATCTGAACCGGGTTTAAACTGCTTTGATCCAGTTGAACTTTCAGTGTTAGCA